CGTTGCTAGTTAGGCTATATATCTTTAATACTCTATCAACCGATTACTCGGACTTTTTCACCCAGGCATACTGTTGTGTATGTTATTCAACCGCACTCAGCATAAACGCAATAATAACAACTGAAACACTCAAGGGTTATCAATGGGAGAGTCAGGCAAGTACAGGCATGAGCACCATCGGCGAGGCTTGCTGTAGCTGTGTTAGACTCACGGGACTCTTAGTCATGATAACATCGTCTGGCGTGGCTAAAAGGACCATCACTTATACCCTTATTGGCGCTACCAACCTTCTATTTCAACGCCCTTCTCCTCCAACACCTCCAATAGTGCCTTCTTGTTTCCCACTCGAGCATAACTGAGGGCAGCGACAACAACGGTAGCCAAATTTGACAATCGACTCCCTACGCAATGGCGTGGACATCGCTGGCAACCTCACAGTTGAGCTGGCGACGTCCGTATGGGGAGGCGAACCTGACTCATAACAAAACCTCGACGGCCTCGTTAGAGAAGCTACACGTCGCCTCGCTCCCACAAACCCCAAGTCTCTGCCTATCTGCCTACTCATGATCATTGCATACGGTCGTACAACCACCCGTTAAACTTCTGCTAGCGATGCAACACTTTACTCAATGTTCCCAAGATGCGGTAGGATGGTCCAGGACCGGTGTATATATAAAATCATCTATTTGTATCGACCATCAATAAAATACACTATTTCTACAGGTAAATGCATGGCAATGAGCGCGGTAAAAAAGCTTACAAGACTCTCATGTTGTATCAAAGACATGTACACCCTGTGCGGGGACTCTCTCCTAGCTACTACGGAACTATCACAAGGTGTGATGAGTGAGCCTGGGGAGAGAATATTCAAGAGTCGTACGTGAGATATCTCTCGTGATTAACACTCAAGGATGGATGCTGTCATCACTGATACTTAGTGAACCTACCCAATGCCGGCATTGCAGTTGTCCACTGCCTCAAGGACATCGCTGACCACCGAGTTAGCAGTAGGATACCTTCCAGCCCCTGCGCCAATATACCTGATAACTTCGTCATGCCCAACCTGTAGTCTCCAAGTATCGTCATCACCATTGGAGCCCCACACGGGTGGTGGAGACTTCAACGCAGTTAGTCGGGCCGCCAACCTTAGCCATAGAGTTAGTGAGAGGGACTAGTGCTGGAGATACCCAGCACTCGAGAGTTGGGCAATCATCCGTACCTAATATGTGATAGCACATAAGCACTTTTGATGGAGAGCGCTGCCAAATCGACTACTGTGTATAACGTGAGACAGTCCCTCACCCG